ACATGGGGTGGTGAGAGACTGTAGTCTGGAAAAGAAAAGCAGACAAGGAAGATGCTCTTGACCCTTTTCTGACCCCATATATCTCGCCCACAAGTCCCACCATTGGTTGCTTTTCCTTTAGAAAACATGCTCCAGATTTCCAGGGGAGAAGAAAACAGCTGCGAAAAATGAAGCAAGAAGAAAAGCAGTAGGCGGGGGGACGGGGAATCAAGCACCCTTTTCCCCTGGGTTAGATGTCTGAAACAGAAAGATGGAGGACTCACCAAAGCATCTTTCACACTTAACAGTCAGTTTTATTGTTAAATTTTTATAATCCCAGATCCCCATCAGTATATCTGTTTTCTACAAAGGAAGGCAGGGAGGCAGGAAGGAAAGAAGGGAGGGAGGGAGGAGCAAGGAAGGAAGGGATTTAGAAAAAAGGGGGGAGAGAAATAATGGTCTTAAGTGGGAAGCCAGTTTCCTTACCTTACCTGAGATGTTTTGCCAATATCTCCAGGGACACGTCTGTCCTTTAATCAGAGAAGAATGTTCCCCATCTCCTCCTTAACAGTCATGTTAATAAATATAGTCTGTGTTCATTAACACATGTAGGCACATAACACTTCTGTACTTATTCTCACCCTCATACATCTATTTTCACATATTGGGCTGCCATATAGGTTCTATAACATTTTCTATAACATATAACCTGTCTGATAAGGCTTCCCTCCATCCACTCCCACATGCAACAATTAAGCTCTATAAAACTTCCATCAGCCCTACTGGGGTTATATAAAAGTTTTAGTGAAAGAAAAGCAGATTACATATTTTTTGTGAGGAATCACAGATATGAAGGGATTAGACTTCCTCTTCCTAGTCATGAGCTCCCAAAACGCTGCCTGATCAGTAGGTTTTTGAAAAGCTTCTGATATCAGTTGGCCTGACTGTAGTGAAGTGCAGGAAAAATGTCATGTCCTTGATCAGAGAGAAGTTTTCAATTCTGGGACAAGCTACTTGAGGAACCTTCATGGGCTAGACATTTTCCATTCCTGCTCTGGCTTCTTCCAGCAGAATCAAGGCTACATCTGGTTTGAGTTCACTTTCAAGGCCCAGTGATAAATTATTCGACAATCTTGAATTATTTCTTATTATTCATGATTAATCCTTTCTTACATAGCTGAAACACAGTGCAAAAATTAGAGATTTGTCCTGCTTTTCAGTTTTGCTTGGACAGGCTCTCAGGATTCAAAATAGCCCTTTATGTTACTCAAGCTGCTCGCTTTGGACAGGATGCCAGGACCATTCTTTGTACTATTTATGCTAAAAATATAAATATGAGTGGCATTGCTTTTTGTTGATTTTCAATGCCAATGTATGTAAAAAGAATCAACCAAATATCATCTGGCATTTTGCAAGTCGAAGTGTCACCCCAACTTAAGTGAAACTTAAATAATGATCATAAAAGACCTCCAGTTTTGGTTTCAGAGAAGAGTTGATGTTTCTTTTGAGCTAAATTTGGCTCATATATTTTTGCCAATTGAACTGTGACTGACAAAGGCTTAACTTTTCCCCAAGCATTGGAACTACTGGTGCTCCACTGTAGACAAGTGGATGAATGTTTCCTGTTTCTTGTTCATGTTCCAATTAATTGGGGATTAATAGATTCTTTTTAATGAAATACATCAAGATATTTTGCAGCTTTACTGCCATCCTTCCATTTCTTTGGGCAAAATAATATGTTGATTTGCCAATCCTGAAGTTGGCTGTGCTAAACCTTACTAAAAGATATTCCAGAATTTGGTGAGGGGGTCAGAGTTCATCTATGAAAATTGCAACAGTTACCATATCAGAGGACAGCATTCCCCCAAACAGTTGTCTAGGGGAGCCTGATCAATCTTTCTGAGAGCATGTACAGAATTACCAAAAATTGCTGGCAGAAATATGAACCCCTGGCACAAGAGGAGATATCAGAATTTGCCTTTCTTTGTGTAACATTACCAATGGAGGATGTCGCCTATAAAAATCACAAGAGATTTTGTGCATCTTTCCAATCCAATTAGTTTAGAAATGACAGATTAAAGCATTAAAGAAACAGAACGTCAGTTATAAATGTTAGTTTTCAAATCTGCTGAGTTCTTGAACCTCCAACTTCTTATACACTCTGTGATTTCTGTGGGGGGTGCATATTATGGCAAGCTAATTCCATACCACATGAACCTACCTGTGGAGTTACCAGGAGCTGAGTTTGACTCAAGGATCGCTACTTTTTTATCTTGACCTGACGTCCCTTTTAAAATAGTTTTAAGGTTTTCCTAAAGTGTTTAGCCATGAACAACTGCATCAACCTTCATGCAAATCAGGGGTACATGAACACTTTGCATGGTTTCCTAACTGATTTGGTCTGGGAGGATCTCTAAGAGGACCTTTTTATGAGGCTGACTTTTGCTATACCCTCTCCTAAGACACATGGCAGAATTTGTTTTTCTAACTGCACATCTAAATCAAACTCAGCCCCTGACCTGCAGCACTGACAAGGTACTACTGCCATAATGCATGTTCTCCCCACACAGCTCTCCAACTGACACTAAAGGGTAATGGTGTCTTCAGAACTGGAATATTGTTGATTACAGTTTCAGCCTGACCTGCAACACAGAAATAATTGCAAAGGAAAATATGGCTGGGCTGCAATATTTCTGAGTTTTCTTTTGACTGTTTCACACAATTCCCTTAAAACCCTATATGTATGCGTCCATTAATTTGTAGGAGTCTCATTTGCTCATCTCCAGCTTCTTCAGGCACACCTACTACAGATGGCATATGCATTGGTTTGAACTTTAAGAGGATGGGACTTGTGCTTCTGTGCATGTTCCCTGGCATCTATCTGAATAAGGCCTCCAAAGCCAAGTGCAATACAACCCAGCAAATAATTCAGCAGTTCTCTTTGAAGGTGCAACTGTTCACCTGATCTTGAATACCTGATCCCCTTTGTGAACATTTATAACTGTCTATTACCTGGGGTGTTGCAGAAGAGGTAACATTAGTCCTTCTAAATGCTTATTTGAAATGATCTTCTCACGAGTTTAGAAACTGTTATCTATACCAAGCATGGGCCAATCGAATTTTAGTGCTTTCAAGTCCCATTGATTTCAGTAGAAAGTTAAGCAGCTTCTTAAATCTCTGACTAAAATCAATGGACTTTAAATGCCTGAAACATCGGCTGGATGATGCCCATCATTTTCCCTAACACTTCCAACTTAACATTAATAGCTTTGAATTCAAAAGAAAACTTTTTTTCTTTCATATATTGTCTTTCTTACCTATATAGCCAGGGGTAATTTTATTTTAAACCACATTTATTTTAAATTTCATGAGGATCAGAGAAGCACATATAAAATATGGTCCATTTCATCATACAATAACATACCAGCTTGTTGCCTGAGGAGAAGAAATAAAAAAGTGGAGTTTGTAGAAGTGAACTAAAAATCATGATGTCTAGAAATTTCTTTTTGAAAGAAAAGTGGTTCTTAAATGATATCTGTTAAAAATAGAATTTTCCTGCAGTTTAAACCTTTATTCCTTCCTTAAGAAGATGCTACAGTCATTACATAAATCACAGTTCTGCAAAGGATCTGTATAAGACAAATGGTAAATATTTCTAAATTTTATTCATAAGAAATTATATAAGACAAGCTAATGCTAAAAACAGAGCTTAAATAAAGTTATTTGTATTAAACCTAACTTGAAACATAGTCAAATAAAATAAGGGTAAATCCACAAATGGCAGACAATTTTTAATTATATTTCCAGCTCTGATTTAGTATTTTCTGCTTCATAACAATCCTGCATGTATCGTATAGCAAGGAAGCATGTCTACAAATATTCATGTCCCCAGCTAGACGTGGTGGCATCAATATGATAAAATAAAATGTGACAATGATGAATTGCAAGCTCCACCCTTTCCTACTTGTGTCATCCCATCATCCACAAGTACATTAGGAACAGAGCTGCAACACACGCTTTGCCACTTGTCCCACCCCTGCGGACCTCCCCCCATCTACCATGTAGATGAAAGACCACTTAGAAAGATGACCATAACAATAAAACATAAATGATTACAAAGAAATCTCAGTCATCAATCATTGTAAAATAATGGCATTATTTATGCAAATAGAGACGTAAATCCATAACAGATTTTGATAAGGAACCCTGCAAAAAAATGATGTGGGTGTTGAAACTATTGGGTAAGAAATGTTTGTATCAGCCAATATCAGGCTATACTTATTTGCTTATTAGCAATTTTCACATTATTTCTTTCTTGGAACTCTATATTCATTACCTTTCTGCCATTATTCAAAGCACTCATGCTGACAATGAACATTACGACCGTAAAGACAGATATCTATAGGACAGATTTTGTACTGTGGTTTCTGGCAGGCCTATCAGATGGATCTTTAAAGTACCTAAATTTCAGCCTCCTGATTTGGAGGAAGCAAATCCATTTCTCATAGGGCCCACAGTAGCTTCAGGGTTATCATAAGCTTCCCTTTTACTAGGGTGGTAATTATATGCTGGCTGCTAAAAAGTTAATGAGCATGGCCCATACAAGGGTCACTTTCATAAGCAACAATTGCACAAGCTGCAGCTGTCACCTAGACATGGTTCTAAAACAGCACTTGCTCCCTTCAACCATCTCTTTTACCTGAAACTATTCGTTATAGATCAATGTTGAGTCCTGATATGCAAAATGAATGAATTGAAATAAAATAGACATCATTCTAGAAAGAACAGTCTTGAACTCTACAAAGTATGAACTGAGATTCAAAAGAATTTTCAGTGCAATCAGGAACATTCTAGGTATTTTCCAGAACACAGAGATACCAATGGACATTTTATTTCCATTGTTGTGTTGGAGAATAAAATACCAAGCTGCTGGGCAATGAGTAGGACATGTGATCTTTTAATATCTTTTTTCTAAATTCCCTTGCTTCCCTCATTTCCCCCACCCCCTCCCCATTTCCTAGGCTTGAATCACCCACGAGATCTTTGATAATGGAAGCTCCAAAAGGAATACAAGTGAGCGCAGCTGCGGGGGACCTGAAAGCCACTTGTAGGAAAGAGCTGCACCTGCAGTCTACAGAAGGGGAGGTAAGCTTTATCAGAGAACCATATTCATCTCGTGAAACCTCATGCATGTTTCTTTGGAAGCTAGTCCACTGTATGGTGTTTAGAACTGAAGCCTTAAATTATTTTTTATTGCTCTCGGATTGCACTAAAGTCCATATCACACGTGTAAGTTGTAACTCTTCAACTAACAAGATAATCATCATCTATTCCCATTACGTGAACTAAGCCACATACTCCTTAACCAATCTAGGTTCTCCAACCAAGTTCTTCTATTTTCAAGTTTTGACTCCCCCATAGCATGAATTTAACACAATCATAAAAATCAAACCAAAGTTGGATTGCACACTAACTGTAATAATCATTAGCTGTTCAGCTTAACGTTCCTAGTTTTCACTATAACGCCAATGGTTGTAAGGGATGGTGGTGTGGATGATAGGGCTGGTGGGTATGTTTTATCTCCTCTCTGGCTTTTATTACTCAACTAATCTTTTACTAACTACCCAACGATGGTCCTCCACTAATAGATGGAAATTCACCTTTGCAAGATTTTTCAAATAAGCAGTCTCATTTTCCAGCAGTCTAAATTCTCATCAGTAGCTCATAAATTGCAGTCCTTTCCTACGTGTTTTAAATGAGCAAGAAAGGGAATCGGAGGCAGGGTTGTGGGAATTACATATTGCCTTCTCACTTTCAGTGCACTTTTCAAACTTCATTATGCTGATGGACACTAATGTAGGAGTATAATTGCTACATTTGTAAGGGAAATATGCATAATCTCTTCCCTAAGTGGAACTGATGAACGGGCCACAGTTAAATCAGCATCACGAAAGAGATAGCGTCGTATGCTTTTCATTTTTCAGAGCTCAAACTCTAATGTCCTTATGGACTACACCAGCCTTCTGCTCTCTTTCAATATTTAACCATCAGCAGAAACTTTGTATGGCATCAAAAATAAGGACAGCTTGGATTGTACAAAGAAAGGCATTCTTGCCAGCCACTACATTGCCATAAAGTCCTGTTGTTTTCTATAGACAAATGCAAGAGTCATTGACAACAGTTATGTTGCAGGAAATACTTAAACACTGAAGCATGACTGCCTCTTTCAGCATAGTCGCGTGGCAACCATGATTTCATAGCAGCAACTTTATAATTAGCCTAAACTTCATAAAAAGCAACAATTTAAAAAACCAGGTTGGATTACTTGCTTCTAGATCCTTAAGGACAAGGATCCATGCATACCATTAGTCAACAGATTTTATGCCAATAAAATTATACTTTTTGGTAGGACTGTGCAACATTTTGAGTTTTTTTGCAAAAAGGTGCTTGGGAAGGTGGAAGGGTACAAATAGTACGCCTGCCTGCAACGTTCTAAGGCAGCCACATATTTTGCAAGGATCACCATTGCTTTAGAGAATGGCATGCAGACCTAGGTATCTACTTTAGAGGACTTTGCTCAAACCATTTTCAGAGGGCTTGGTCCATGGAGCTTCTGGCTTCAGCTGTTACCAGGGAGACTCCCTACACAGCTAATTAGAGATCTGCCTTTGTTGTCAGAGGGTCCCATAAACATCCCTAGCAATACCCAAGTACACATTTCTTCCATTAGAACTTATTTTAGGAAGCTAGCATTAGTAAAAGCTGATGCAATTGTCTTTTGCAATGATCACCTGACAACACTAGCTTTATTTATCAATGATAGGAAGCAGGCTTTATGTATGTTCAGAGATGGACCAGGCAGAGCAGATCCTGACTGGGCCAGGCATGGGTCTCCTTCTCCATGCATTTGGGAAATGGGAAAGAGGCTGGTACTGCTATTTTATAATTACTGAATTCCATTCTGAACTGGAACACAGAGAAGAGCATCCAGGTGAGGTCTCTTTTAGAGAACCCAATAATATATTTCTCAATATGAAGTCCTGCAGAATAAACTGAAAATTAAAACCTCTTCATTTTCTTCCTTCCTTTCTTTTTTTTTTTCCTAGATATTTTTAAATGCGGACTCAATCCGACTAGGGAATCTACCCCTGGGGTCTTTTCCCTCATCTTCCTCACCAAGTTCATCAGCAACAAGACAGACTATCTATGAGCTCTGTGTTTGTCCCAATGGCAAACTCTACCTTTCTCCTGCAGGAGCAGGTTCCACATGTCAGTCCAGTGGCAACATCTGCTTGTGGAGCTGAAAAGACACCAGAATCCTTCTTTTCCTCCTCCTCCTCCTCACACCAGAATAGCCTTTTTGTTACTGTCCCTCTGCTTCACAGTTCTGCTTGATTTCCCTCGTTTGATCATGAAGCTCCAAGCAGCCTCTTGGATCTCTTCCAGTGCAAGCAAGGGGCAAAATACAGCCTTCTCTTCTGGCTTATGGAGCTCCAAGATGGAAGAGAGAAGGCCTAATAAAATGGTTGTCTTCACCAGGGAATCTGGATCTTCGTATCACTTTTTGTCCAAAAGGGAGAAATACATAGGTGCCTTGGCTATATATGAAGTGAAGCACATTGTTTTAGAATTTTTTTGGGCAGGAACTGTAAATGAGAAACTGCACATATATACATAACTATATAGAGATAAATATAATACTATAAAAATTGGCCCAGAATCTAAAGTTGAGATGAATTGGTATGACAAATAACTCTACTGTCTGAAAGCACAATTTTCATACACCCATCACTTTTGGATGTAAACTTTTATCCCAGAATTTTAAGACTTCAAAGCATTGTGTAACACATTACTAAACAAGTAAAATTCAATTTCACATTTTAAACAACAAGAGACAGAATCCCTCCCTGAGTGCTGATCTTTTTTTTTTTTTCCTTCCCTTCAGGGCATTGTTACTATTTGTCTCCTTCACACAGGTTTTGTGAGTTAGGTGCACATTTTATGAATCATCAGAAATGTTACCTATTCAGACCTTTTATTTTTGTGCTGATCTTGAATGATTTGTTTGTGCATGTGAAGTAACATTTAACAACAGTATTCCTCTCAGTCATTTGTATGCATCTAATGCTGCCACACTGTTAAAGAAAAGTGAGTCTGTTGACCTGATGGCCCATTGAGCAAGTTACAGATATGATTAATACATTTTGTTTCTCAAAAAACAAACAAGCCCTAATACAGTGTTGTCCAAACTTGGCCACTTTAAGATGAGTGGCCTTCAACTCCCAGAATCCCCCAGCCAGCCATGGGATTCTGGGA